AAAAAAAAAAAAAAAAACAACATAATTAAATTAGCAGCTCAGAATGATTACCAGGAAATGTTCATTCGTGGAACGAATAAGACTGATAAATGTCGGCAATGTTGCGATGTAGTTTGCCATTTTCTGATTTTGGATTTACTTCGCGGTTGCTGGGGAGGTTTTACTTTGCGATTTACTTTGAGAATTCAATAGTTCTTGATATGTGGTAGTATCTAGGGTTAATGTCAGCTCTTATATAATCGGCGACCAACACAACCTTTGACCTACCCGCCTGTACATGGGCTTCAATTTATTTGGGCTTTTTAAATTAATATGCAATATAATATTTGTGTTGGAAAAACTTTTATCCAAACAAAACAACTAACCTAGCAACAAGACTTAACTAACCTAGCAACAGCGGACAACTAAACTAGCACCTAGAAACAACTAACTTAGCAATTAAATACAACTAGACATAACTAACCTAGCAACAAAAGACTACTAACTAACCAAGCAACTAGACATAACTAACCTAGCAACATCGGGCAACTACCCAAGCAAGTAGACACAAATAACCTAGCAACAAGGTAGAATTAACCTAGCAACAACAAAAAACTATTCCTGCAACTAGCTAAAACTAACCTTGCAGCTCCAGACATAGCAGCATCAGACAACTAATCTTGCAACAACCTAAATATATCTAACCTTGCAACAACCTAAATATATCTAACCTTGCAACAACATAAAACAAACCTTGCACCAACATAAAACTAACCTTGCAACATCATACATAACTAACCTAGCACCAATAACTAACTTAGCAACTAAAAACAACTAACCTGTAAAGACCTAATAACTAACCTTGCAACAGAGGAATAGTAACCTTGCAAATTTAGACAACTAACCTTGCAAAAAGATAAAACTAACCTAGCAATAGACATATAACTAACCTTGCAGCAGCAGATAATTAATATAGCAAACAACAGACTCCTAACATAGCAGCATCAGATAAATAACCTTGCAACAACCTACATATATATAACCTTTCAACTGATTATATATAACCTTGCAACTGAATAGAAATAACCTTGCAACCGCATAGATCTAACCATGCAACAACATACTACTTACCTATCAACCGACATAAATAACCTAGCAACATCGGACAACTAACATAGCACCTAGACACAACTAACTTAGCAGCTAAAATACAACTAACCTAACAAGACCTAATAACTAACCTTGCAATAGACAGAAAACTAACCTAGCAATAAACAGACAACTAACCTTGCAACAAGAGAATACTAACCTTGCAACTTCAGACAACTAACTTGCGATAGCATACAACTAACATTGCATGAAAAATCATATTCATCCATAAACAAAAGATAAATCTTAATTAAAAAAAAAAAAAATCATATTTACATCAAAAGTATTACATCAAAAGTATACCATCAAATCCAACTACATGCATACAAAATCAATTTTCTTGGAAATGGACAATCTTTATCCTCTTATTTGTAGGATTCTTCTCGGCTTGAAATGCATCAATCTTTTTTCTGATTCTCTGTTTTCAACTCGTTGAAGTCATTTAAGACAATTTCCGAGCAGTACTTAATGCGCATTTTTTTCAATTGCTCCGGTTTGTCCCTTACCACTCTTCCAGTTTTTAGAACCACATCCATAATATGTTTCCATATGCCGCATAACAAAGACCCCACAGTCAACTTTTTTTTGGCATCTCTCAAGGAAAAGTAATTCTGGCTATCCTCATACTTGAGACCTTGTCTGACAAACGTGGGAGGTTTCTGGATCTCAAATATCTACCATGAAAATCTCTCTGAAAAAAAGAAAAAAAGAAAGAAAATAATATTAAAAATGTGTTAACAGTGCATGATATATAATATGTTGAACTATATATGCAATGTTCTAAAATTAATTTAAAAAAATTAGAAATTATTACCAGATGCACATGTTGAGAATGGTATTTTCCAAGGGAGGTTCCACCGACAGAAGAATTGTCCAAAATAATGATAGCATCTTCCTTAAAATCAAAACAGACCACATACAAATGCTCGCTCTTATACACAGGGAACAAAATCTGATAAAAAAACAAAAATTATATAATATTAGCATTTTACTAAATAATTAAACTGATCAATACCAATGTAAAAAGAAAATTACCATATCAATATCTTCAAGTTTATCATCAAATCCTGATGTTCTTAAATCATTAGCCATACTTTCACAGAATAAACGAGCTTTAGATTCAACATGCCATTTCTCATTGGGAATTGGAACGCTGTTCATCTGGACACAAATGAAAAAAAAATATGTTATGAATTAACAAAGAAAATATAACTAAACCAGCAACTATAAACAACTAACATAGCAACTAGATATTACTAACACAACAACTAAATAGATCTAATTATACAACTAACCTAGCAGCAGAAGACAACTAACATAGCAGCTTCAGATAATTAACCTAGCAACAAGTAACAAGTAACCTAGCATTATGAGACAACTAACCTAGCAACAAAACACAACTAACCTAGCAACATCACACAACTAACCTAGCTACAAGATATAACTAACCTAGCAGCTAGACACAACTTCAGACATCTAAACCTAGCGAAACATCAGAAAACTAGCCTAGCAATATTAGAAAACTAACCTAGCAACTACAAAACAACTAACTAAACAACTATCAAAAGAGATATTCAAGCACAGAAAATAACAAAATAAAAAATTATTCAACTGAATAAGAAAACTTACACTAGAATACGAGGATCCAAAAAATCTCAATGGCATATCTGGTTTTCTATTCAGTTCTCTCAAATTCAATATCCTGCACCAGGTATCCAGAACAGCCACATTGAAATCTGGTCTTAACGACTTAATGGTATCTTTCATTAAAATCAGATCACCATTCTGGAAAATTGTCTCAAACCTGAAAAAACATAAATAAAAAAGAACAAGAAATTATAAATTGTAAATAATAACTGAAACTAAATGACAAAAAAAAAAAATCTTAAATATGAAAATTTACGCTGCGTCTTCATTATCATCCAATATCCAATCATAAACTTCTTTGTCCCTTGAACTTGCTTTTGAAATGTTCAATTGTTTCAGTTCAAGTTTCTCCTTCTCTTTTCCTTTCCTTTTGAACTTTCTACTCTTCCTCCACCTTCTTTTTCTATTGGCTCTGTTTCTCATCTTTCTCCTTCATTTCTTTCTCCTTCTGCTCCCTCTCTTTCTCCTCTCTCTCTCTTTCCTCTTTTACTTTCTTCTCCATCTCCTTCTTCTCTTTCTCCTCTCTTTCTTTCTTCTCCTTCTCTTTCTTTTCCTTCTCTTTCTCCTCTTTCTCCTTCTTCTCCCTCACCTTCTTCTCTTTCTCCTCCTTCTCATCTCTCTCTTCCCTCTCTTTCAGCTCTTTTTTCTCCCTCTCTTTCAGCTCTTTCTCCTTATACTCTCTCTCCTTCTGCTCCCTCACTTTCTTCTCGTTCTCCTCTCTTTCTTTCTTCTCCCTCTTTCTCCTCTTTCTCATTCTGCTCTCTCTCTTCCCTCTCTTTCTGCTCCCTCTCCTTCTCTTTCTCCTCCTCCTTCTTCTCTTTCTCCTCCTTCTCCTTCCTCTCTCTCTTCCTTCTCCTTCCTCTCTCTCTTCCTTCTCTTTCTCCTTCTTCTTTCTTTCTTCCCTCTCTTTCTCCTTCTTCTCTTTCTGTTCTCTCTCCCTCTGCTCCCTCTCTTTCTTATCCTCTCTCTCATCAATTTTCTCCAACATCTCCATCTTCACTTTATCTACTTTATCTCTCTCACTGCTCTCTGACTCTTTCTTCTTTGCAGTTTGAGTCTCCTTCACCGTCCCAAACACAAGTGCAAGAGGAGCATCTTCAAGAATTTCTGCAGTGGGTTGGGGGATAGCAACAATATCCAGATTCCTCTTCGTCTTTTTCTCCTCCCTCTTTTCTTTTTATCCTCTCTCTTTTTCATTTTTCTCTCTTCTTCCTTCTACTTCTCCTTCTCCTCTCTCTGTTTGTCTTCTCTTTCTTTTATTCGTCTCGCCACCTCTTCATCTACTAGCTTAGAAAATGCAGCATCTTGAGAAACTGAAACTGGTTCTTCATCGCCGATTGGGGCTTGGGAAAGTTGCCTTGAAATTTGTAGAACGTCCTCCTCAATCCCAATGAATAACTGTGACCTTCATTATGATGTTTCCTCTTGTATGCAGCCCTCTTCCCAATTGCACCCTCAACCTTCTCAACAAATTCAACTATTTCTGGCTCATTCCAGAAAGCAGTTGCTTCTTCACTATTATCTTCAAAGGAATCTTTCTCTGAGAAGATTGAGGTACATTGGGGCTGAAAGTGATAAGATTTTCAGCTGCTTCTTGAATCTTCTTAAAATTTAAATTTTCAGACACTTAAGCGAGTGCATCTTCAAGCAAAGTTATTACGTCAACTACATCAGACGCCAAACACATAACCTTGCTGATAAGCTTGGATTTATAACTCTGTTTATACATAAAATTAAATAGAGTGAACAATTATAAGAAAGTATGGAGGAAAAAATAAACTGAACATGCATAATACAAGAAGTAAACTACAAGTACCTAACCTAGCAACAAGAAAGAAGTAATCTATCAGAGAAATATAACTATCCAAGCACTTATATATAACTATCCTAGCAATAGAAGATAATTAACCTAGCAACAATAGACAACTAACCTAGCATAATACTCTCCCTTCTCTCTAGGTTTCTCTCTCTACCTCTCACTCCCTACCCATCGTCGATCACCGTCTAGCCATGTTAACATCCGCTCTCCCGGCGTCGCCTCTTGTGATGCCGGCAACAGAACCTCTCTCAGTTCCTCCCTCGGCAAAACCAGACGTTGCTGCTGTATACAACTATTCTTTGCACCCAGACTACAACCCAATAAGCTCCACCTTAATCGATGAAGAAGCTTCGTTCTTGCCTCC